GTTTGGGAGCAGATAATAGTCGCTGGGGGCCAAGTCTGGAGAATACGGTGGGTGAGCAATCAATTCGAATCGTAATTGATCCAATTTGACCATCGCTTTCAAGGACGTGTGTTACGATGCGTTATCGTGATGGTACAGAACTTTTTTCATCGCCATATGAGGCCATTTTTCTTTATTTCATCGTTCAGTTTGTCCAATAACGCTGCATAATACTCTCTCGTAACTGTTTTTCCTTTCTGCAGGTAATCGATGAAGATTATGCCATGCGCATCCCAAAAAACGGAGGCCATAACCTTCCCGGCCAAGCATTAGTCTTTTGGTCGCTTTGGTTGGCTTTCGTGGCTTTTCAGCTACTCTACAGACTGCCTATTGGACTCAGGCGTATGGGAATGGACCCACGTTTCATCCATCGTCACAAAACGTCGGAAAAAGTCCGTTCGATTACGTTGCAACAACGCCAAACCGACCGTTGAATCATCAATGCGCTGCTGTTTTTGGTCGATAGTCAGCAAACGCGGCACCCATCGTGCCGATAGCTTTTTCATCTCCAAAACATCGTGCAAAATGTATCCCGCCCGTTCTTTTGAGATGCCTACGGCCTCAGTTAACTCGCGCAACTTCACTTTACGATCACTTAAAACGATTCGATGCACTTGCTTTGCGATTTCCGCATTCGTAGCCTCTTTTGGCCTTCCAGAGCGAGGTGTGTCTTCGGTGCTTGTACAACCCATTTTAAATTCACTAAACCACCGATAAATTGTTGTTCTCGAAGGAGCAGATGTGGGATAACATTTCTGCAACCATTTCAATGATTGTTCAGAAGTTTTTCCCATCAAAAAATAATGTTTGATCAAGATGCGATATTCCTATTTTTCCATTTTTATTACGAAAGCGAAAGTAACGCCACTTAAACGACTGTAGCTTGTAAACGAATGAACGAAATGTCATGAAACTTCATACATAAACTAGTAACAAATGAACCTCTCGAAATGAATCATGTTCATTTTCTAGTGGCGCCACCTATTGAAAAATCCCGGGACTTTTCAGCCCATGTAGTACATAAATTTTCTGCAAAAATTTATATACAAAATATCCCATTTTAAATGATGACCTCATGTCGTTATCTTTTGAACAATGTATTTTAGAAAGAAAAAAATTCAATTTCAGATAAAAGTTCTACGACTTCAAGGGATGACATAAAAAGTATCCATTTAACCTTGTGTGGCGTTGTCATAGATAGAGCAAATTCATTTTAAATTGTTTAAATGAAACCTCCTATTTTTTATTATATATTCTCATAACTTATCTCGAGAGCTTTTCAAAATATTATAACAAAATTCTTTTTTCATATAATTTTTTGTATTACAAAAATTGAATGTTATAATACCGCCGCACCGGTATTATTCAAGGTGTCTGACCAATAACTAAATCTCTTGAATGTTATTCAAGATATGACCTTAATAACATTTGTAAAGATCAAGGCCATTGGAAGTTGTTTCTCTTTAAAGCGGAAAAATAATTTTATTATAGTGTTTTGAAATCTCTCGAAGTAAATTACGAGAATATATAATGAAAAGTAAAAAATTCCATTTAATAAGTTCGAAGTGACCTTGTCTTGACTTAAAGTCTTAAAGTCAAATTATATCTTCTTATGCCATTTTTAAAATCATAATATTTTTGTGCGTCTGAAACATTTTTCTCTAAAATCAACTATTCAAAAGATAGATTTTTAAAACTATCATTTAAAATAAGATATCTTGTATATGTGCGTACGGTATTGACGTAATAGTATATAGTGATGTATTGATGACACATAAAATATATAAGTTCTATTAAATCAGTAAAACAGATAATTTTGGGATATAACATAATTTAATGTAATTTTTATTTTCTTTTTTTTCACATTTTCATTTCATAATCTTAAAAAACCAACAATATTGAGTTGTGACAATGGTTTTGACGATTTTTTTAAACCATCTCTTTTAAATTGGGACGATTCTTACATCGTTTGAAGATAAATTAGTTCATTTTTTTTTATTGGTAGAACAATATTTATTTAATTATTTAATTCATCCATAGTAATAATTTGAAAATCATGTTTTTAGTTGCATCACTTTTAAAATATGGGAGCGAGTATAGAGTAACTTAAAAGATGTCTATAATAGTTTTTTAAAATGATTTGTTTAATGTTGCTATAATAAATTATATAAATCTATAATCTAACCGTGATTGTCGCAATCCGTTGCCATCAATCCGTGATTGTCGCATTATTACGGAAAAAATTGAAAAGAAGATATCAAATTAAATATGCGAGTATTTGTAAATTTGCGTATAAAAAAATTGAAATCTTAATATAAATAATTTTTTTCAGATGTGATACGCGTAACTAAATTAAAATCATAATAATAGCATCGATATTTTCTTTTGGATATAGATGAATATTTACGAAACTGCTTAATTTTGGTATACGGTAATTCATCTCCCTTTACTTATTAGTAATGTCCATATTTGTATGATGTCGGCGACGATGCAACGCTATCTGAAAAATACAGCATGTCTCTTTAGATATCCTTGTCCTTATTGTCTTTTCTATTGCCATTTAAATAGCTAAAATATCCTTTCTTATTTTTAATGTTTCGTAACTTGTAAAAAACGCAGAGTAATCTCTACTGACATAACAGTTTTATTCTTTATTTTTCGATCGTAAGGAATGATGTTTCAAAGAACTTTATTTCCTGTCTAGAATTATCTTTTATATTCTATAAATCAATCCTAGAAGTACGTACCCAGTGATCCACTAAAAACGATAGAGGATGAACATTGACTTGTTGAGTGTCTCTGTGAGTCCTCATAAAAGACTGATCAGATCGTTCCCGAAATTCGTCGTTCGGAAGAATGTAAAATAATTCGACATTTGACAATGGTACTTTAGATTCTTGAATATTCCGGGTGATGCTGTTTTGTAAACTGTTGCGTTCCACAGTCGAATCAAATCTTTTACCATAACCACCATAACAAGTATGTCCGAACGCCGCGCAACCACCTGCAAAAAATTAACTACTGATATTAGTCAAATGTGTTATTTGTATAATCAGAATAGTAATTCGGATGATATATTTTAGGAGTACAAATTAGTTCCGTTCATTTTTTGTGTTCAAAAATGCATTTTTTTATTTCAAAACAAAATGAATGAACAGATTAATTAAAGTATTGTCCATCGCTGGCTATTACTTTTCCTCATCTCTCAGGCAGTTTTCGAATTCCATCTCGAAAAAATGACTCGTCTTTGGAGGTGATCCAATTTTGGAACCAATTTTCGATTTCTGCGCAAGAAGTGAACCGATGACCTTGCCAAATCGTGCTGCATCCTTCGGAACAACCAGTAATCAGAAAGAGCAATGTCCGGAGAATACGGTGAGTGCGGTAAAACATCCCATTTGAGCATTTCCAAATATTTTTTTACGACTTTAGCGACATGAGGCCGAGCGTTGTCATGGAATGGCAACGATTGACCGGGCTTAGCGTAGTATTTTTTCTTCTTGGGGTTGTCATAGAATATCCACTTCTCATTTCCAGTCACAATCCGATGCAAAAAACCTTTTCTTTGTTGTCTTTGAATCAGCTGTTCGCAAGTGAAAAATCGCCTTTCAACGTCTCTCGATTTCAGTTTATAAGGTATCTAATTTCCTTGTTTTTGAATTATTCCCATGGCTCTCAATCGTGCAGAAACGGCTTGTTGAGTTACTCCCAATGATTCTGCAAGCTCCTCTTGCGTTTAACTCTGATCTTCTTCGAGTAATGCCTCTAATTCTTTGTCTTCGAATTTTTTTGTCTAGAGCGAGGCTTGTCTTCAACGCTGAAATCTCCATCCTTGAAACGTCGAAACCATTCCCTACATAATTTATCAGTTGGAGCAATGTCACCATAAACTTTGACAAGCATTCGATGGGGCTTCAGCTGCACTTTTCTTCCAATTAAAGCAGAAAATTAGAACCTCCCGCAAATGCTGTTTGGTTAACACAAAATTCGACATTTCAAACACAGTAAAAATCAAGGTTTTTGTATGAAACTCAAAGCGATATAAACTGAATATTATTAGCAGATGTCTAACCTCTCTGAAAACGCCAAAATCAATTGTCACTATGTACCATTCACAACAGCTGGAATCATCTTTTGGAAAATGAACCAAACTAATTTGTACTCCCAATATTTAATATAGTGATACTTAATATGATGATGTATTTATTAAGTCTACACAGAAAAGCGTTTGTGTTCTTTTTCTGCATATTGCTACTTGTCATATTCGAAAATCCTGGCTATTTCATGTTAGATATAGATATAGTGATCTTTAGAAACCTTTCCAACAAAGACTGTATTTTATTTTTTAAAATTCGCCATGTGATAAATCTTTTTATTATAATAAAAAATAAAGACTTAGACGTAAAAACCTGAAACAATTATTTAGAAATTTCTGAAAAGTTTCTTATGTAATCCTTGATTATTCCCTGTCCTTGATCCTCAATAAACACTTTATTAAAATCATACGTTTAAGAATGTATTTATGAGTGGGATTCTTGCGCTCTGTATACTATTCTTCTCGCGCTGTGAAAAAAATTAACGTTACAAAAAAAAAAAGAAAAGCTGAATAAAGTTTGGAAAGTTCTTGGAGCGATTTTTTTCAACATGGTTTGGCCCATTTTTCATTTTTCATAGAGCTACATTTGCATGCCAGATAACAAAAAAGAAACACCGCGATTAAACTATTATTTTTTCACAGATGAAAATCACAAATAGTTTTATTGCTTTCTTAAACCATGTTTGCGAATTTCACTTTGCTTTTATAAAGATCATTTATTATTAGATTCGTTACTTTTACTTGAACTATAGAATAAATAAGATTTTGTGGTAAATGCTATTATTGTAGAGCATTTACGATGCGTAATATTATATATCGGATTAATATAAGACCCAAAAATAAATTTCTTTACATTATTTACATTTGTACATTGACTTACATGGTGTGTGTGTGTGTGTGTGTGTGTGTGTGTGTGTGTGTGCGCGTAAATATGTAAATATAGGAGAGATTGGGGACAAAGGTAACAGAGTACAATAATAACATCGTTAATATTTCTTAAACTACACATAATAGATCTGTGTATGCGTGATAAAATTTTGTAGAGAGATAAATCGGTATCATTGAATCATTCGTTACATGTTGGTTCTCACGGAAAGTAAACGAGTGAAGCAAAAATTATTTTTTTCGTGCATCGAGTAAGTTTTATTACGTGTACAAAATCTAAAATATCTTTTTTTTCGTTATAATAAACGTTATAATGTATTACCTTAATATGTTTTAATGGTTATCTGCTTTAATGGTTTGCACATATAGTATAAGTTTATTTTTATTGAGGTCTTTATTTAAAAAATTTTCTATGAGTCACAATATACTAATAGGGGACAATATTAACATCGATGCCTGGGAGAGTTGTAACGTAACACAATTGTCCCTAAAAAAAATTGTCTCTATTTGATTTTATACAATTATTTTGCAATATTACTTGTACTTTTCTTCATGCAATGCCACTAATAAGAAAACATAAGACTGATTAAGAGAATAATTGCACAAAAGAAGTGTCTTTATACAAATAGACATTTAAAGAAGTTATAAAGGATCAGTTGTCCATTCGTGCAGTTGCAAGTAGTATGACTTATGTGATTGTGTTATATACTTCTGGCAAATGTGATAGAATTATCTCCCTCTGCTGTTTCAATCATCCCGGGTAATGATTGTATCAAAACTTCTTATAGTCTTTTAACAAACCTAACTGTTTTTCTAGTTACATAAAAGAATTAACCAAAAAAAATTTTGTAGCTACATAAATTCTCTCTCTCTCTCTCTCTCTCTCTCTCTCTCTCTCTCTCTCTCTCTCGCTCTCGCTCTCGCTCTCCCCCTCCCCTCCACCCTTCCCCACTCCCCCTCTCTTCTCCCTCTCTCCCTCTCTCTCTCTCTCTCTCTCTCTCTCTCTCTCTCTCTCTCCATCTAAAAAGATATACAGGGTTGGCTATATTCGACGGAAAGATGTTTTTTTTCAATCATGGGAAAAAAACACATTTTTTGCTGTTCATTTTAAAAATCATTTAATAGGGTTCAAGGTCTTTCCGTCGAATATGGCCAACCCTGTATACTTTTTGAATATTATATTTTAACTGTTATATCAATTCGGTCAAATTGTTACTTTTGTCCCCGGTCTCTTCTAATATAATTCACTTTGGATTAACTATTTTAATATTATCGAGATTTATTGTATCTACTCGATACAAGAAGTTCAATTGCCATAAACAATCGCATAAAGTTTTGATTGCCTTTATTGCACACAGTGTATTATCAGCGATAAATACGGCGTGTACGCGAAATTCCGACGCTACAGCGAAAGCATTTGTCGAGTTGCTTTAGAGAGTTGCAAGGTGAGACATCTTTACACGTCTCTACTACAACTTCTCTTTCGATCTTGCCTTAGTCACACGGATCATCTCTCGATCTTACTTTCATTAGCTGAATCCCTCGATCTTGCATTAGTACAACCATCAATTTTCGTGGTTGATTGGACAATTTTTTGGCTGGACATCTTACCATATAAATCTCTTCAAAATGGCTGACCAAAGTGATTTAAATTATAGTGTTTTGGAAAGGAAGTACTATAATTATGTGACAAAATTTAAGGAGTTTTAATTAAAAAATTCAAAGCGACTTTTTTCTTACCTCAGCGATGCTACCCAATGTCAAACAGATATAATTAATAAATAAACCTTTTCAAATCCTACAATTTTTGTCTCAAATATTTTTGCGTATCTTTTAAAATTTTCGAGATATTTCGATCAAAGTTAAAATAGGACACCCTATATATATATATATATATATATATATATATATATATATATACACAGGGACCGGCAAAATAATCT